TTTATTGTTCGGGACGAACAATGGTTTAAGTGTGGGGGAGTTATTTATTCCATTTTTGTCGTGTTTATTTTATCTGTATTTTTCCCCATTATAGGTATTTTTATTTGGTTCTTGGTAAATTTTATGTCTTGTCGTGCATTTTTCTTTATTTTTTTTTTAATTTTAGGAGTTCTCATTTGTTTCTCCGGGTTTTCTGCATTTTTCTTGTCGGTGGTGATATGCAGGTTAGGTGGCTCGATCGTTTATTAATTTCGAAAGGGAAGTGGTCGTGCGAGAATTACTATCTAGAAGGTTGAGGTTGAGTCTAGTAGAATAAGAGAGAATTAAATTCCGAGTCTGGATGCATGCGTATGAACCCGAAAACAGCAGCTGTTTTCCTTCACCGCGGCCCGCCGGTTTACCGCGGTCGCGGGGAACAAATATAGCCCGCGCCAGTTTTTCCTCGCCGCGGCCGCGTGACACTTCTGCTCCAGTTTTTCCGCAGCCTCTGGACGAGTCGCGGTCGCGGAGCTTTTCTTCACCGCGGCCGCAGAGGCCGTGATTTTCAGAATTTAAAACTCATAGTTTAATAGCAAGGGAGAGGTTTTTAGATTGGTTTGGAACGTTGGTATTCGTATTGATATTTTTTACTTGGAAAACACCATTTCTCTTAGTTTTTCATTGAGATTCAACTTGGAGAGTAAATACTCTAAGATTTGTCTTTTCGGATTTGTTTTGCACTCGGGATTTGACATTAAACCTTCCCATTAATCGTAAGCTTATATTTTCATTTTATTTATGAATGTTATGCATTCTGATCATGCGGCTCTAGGGATGTCAATAAAACCCGTAGGGTCGGGTTACCCGCATTTTTGGGACTGGTAAACCCGAGTTGAATGGGTTTCGGGTCGGGTCGGGTGCGGGTATAGTAGGCAATCTCATTACCCGACCCGATTACCCTACCCGCAAACATTGAATCATGTATATATATGCATACATACATATATATATATATTTATAACTTATAATAAATAAAAAAGTAGTCACGTGTTATTTTAAAAAATTTGATTATCTATTATAATTTTGATTAATTGTAAAATTTATTTTATTTTTTATAATTTTATTATCCTTTTTTGTTAATTGTACGATAAAAAAATTAAATACTTAATTTTAAATGTTATAATATTAAATAGACTATAAAAGATAAATAATCATATCTCGTTATTTATTCCAAAAATAATATTTTTTTTATAGTTTTTTATTGTCAAACTTAGTTAATAAATTATTTCTTACATTATAATTAATTGTGGAATTATTTTATTTTATTTTCATATGAAACGAGATGGGTCAGTTAAAACCCAAATTTAAGACTCGGGTTACCCGTTTACCCGATGAAAACCCACTAACCCACTGGGTAAAACCCAACCCGAACCCGAAGATCACTAGTCGGGTAACGGGTCGGGTTTGGGTAGGATAAATTATATGCGGGTCGGGTTCGGGTTTGCCAAAACCCATACCCAACCCGACCCATTTACATCCCTATGCGGCTCTTAGGTATCTCTTGAGTAAAACTCAATCTAACATGAGTTTGGACGTTGGTGTTGTTGGACTACGAGAAGTTTGGGTGGTTTCTCCACCCCGGGTTGTTGGAGAAAGGGTCGTTGGCCTGCCGATTCTGATAGCCTTGTAGAGCATTGGCATCTGCATATTGCTCTCTAAAGTCTTGTTCAAAAGCTGACGGACACACTTCTGACCTGTGCCCTTGGACTCCACACGCCCCGCATGCCCTTGGACTCCACACGCCCCGCATGCCTCAACAACCATAGTTTGCATTGGCTGGACTCCTCGTGCAGTCAGTAGTCGCATTTGTCTCGTCCGGAAGATACTTCGTTGACCATGACCCTCTTTCCTCGGCTGCTCTTTTGAGACTAGTTAGAACTCTTCGCCTCAAAAATATCCATCATCTCCTCAGCCGTCATAGCCCCGATATCTTCACCAGCTGCGTTATCCACCATGCACTGAAGATTCTGGTGGAGAGTCATAGAAGCTGTTCATCAAAAGAGCCAGTGGGAAATTGTGGTGTGGGCATTGTCTCTGGAGATCCTTGAAGCGCTCTCACGCCTCAAGGAGTAGCTCGTTCGGCTGTTGGGCAAAGGAGACAATCTGTGACTGTAGCTCTTGAGTCTTCTGATGGGAGTAGTACCTCCATATGAACTTCGAATATACTTGCTCCTAGGTGATAAGAGAGTCGGGAGCAAGTGTCATCAACCAAGCCGTGGCCCGGTCCTTGAGCGTTTCCAGAAAATGTCTCATTTTCAACTGGTCAGTGGAAAGGTCTGGAGGACATTGTAGAACTCACGTATAAAATGGAGTGGATCCTCATTGCGGAGACCATGGAAGGATGGTAGCTGGATTAGTGGATTGTCTTGAGCTCGTAGTTCCGAGCTGCTGGACCCAACCGAATGCAAGACGTCACTGGCCCAATCACCGGTTGAGCTAAGTCACGAAGAAGATATCTAGGAGGGTTATTTACCTTCTCTTGCTCATTTCGTGCCATGTCTATTTGCTGTCTGATGCAGACGATTCCGAAGCAAGGCTAGCTAACAAGTTCGTAGGTCCTTATGGATGGATTCGTCGTTTGGGATGATTACACGACCACTCCTGGTACGCATAAACAAAAACAACAAAAACGTCACGGGCACCAGATAGGAGCAAGGCTAGCTAACAAGTCACGTAGGTCCCTATAGATGGATTCGTTGTTTGGGATGATTCCACAACCACTCCTGGTACGCATAAATAAAAACAACAAAAACGTCACGGGCACCAGATAGACAAGAAAAAGAACAAGGAAAAACAAAACAAAGAAAACACGAAAACTAGACAAAGAAAACGAAACAAAAAGAAACACAAAAAACAAGAAATCACAAAAAGTAAAAGAAACACGGAAAATAAAATGAATAGGCGCACAAAATAAGGCCTAAACCCTCCCCGACAACGACGCCAATTTGTTGTAAATATTTTTATCGGAGTAGAATCGAAAGATTCGTTCCCCGGGTCGTATCACAAGGAAGGTTGGCCGAATTATTTGTGCAGTATTCAATCATACGAAAAGAGAAATCAAAGTCCTAAACATTCTAATTCAATAGATTTGATTTGTTTTATCAACTACGAATTCTAAAACAAGGCTAGCTATTTCAATCTCACAACTCAAAACACAATTCAAATAGTGATAAAGGGGCTAGGGTGTCGGGACAATCGCTTCGGGTTCTAAATACATTTAACGAGCAATCAAGAACTCTATTAAATGATTCGACGAACTACTCATCTAGAGATCTATCCAATAACTCTTTGTAACAAGAGGATAAACATAAATGAATAATTATCGAAACAATTAACATATAGGCAATACCATTACGAACAAGCCTATTCTAAACGAGCCTAGCTCGAACGGTTTCTCCCCCTTTCGGTTATAAAATCGATTAATTAGATTAAAATGGTGATCAATCATCTAGACGTAGGATTAACACAATTCGGAAAGATTGAGCAATCAACATGCACATAAACGAAATCGAACCAGAACGATTATCTCCTAACCCTAGCTAACGAATTTAGCTACTCATCGCAAATTCAACAGCAACATTCATATCAAACAAAGCCATTACATTCATAAATAAAATGAAAATATAAGCTTACGATTAATGCGAAGGTTTAATGTCAAATCTCGAGTGCAAAACAAATCCGAAAAGACAAATCTTGGAGTATTTACTCTCCAGGTTGAATTACAATGAAAAACTAAGAGAAAGGGTGTTTTCCAAGTGAAAAATATCAATACGATTACAAACGTCCAAACCTATCTGAAAACTTCTCCCTTACGCTATTAAAATCTGAGTTTTAAATTCTGAAAATCGCAGCCTCCTCGGCCGCGGAGAGTTCCGCGGGTCGCGGTGAAGAAAAGCTCCGCGGTCGCGACTCGTCCAGAGGCCGCGCGACCTCCCATCCCGCAGCCGCGGCGAGGAAAAATTGGGCGCGGGCTATATTTGTTCCCCGCGGCCGCGGGAAATCGTCGCGGGCCGCGGTGAAGGAAAACGACTGCTGTTCTCAGGTTCATACGCATGCATCCAGACTCGGAATTTAATTCCGTCTTTTTCTACTTGACTCGACCTCAACCTTCTAGATAGTAATTCTCGCACGGCCACTTTTCTTTCGAAATTAATAACCGACCGAGCCACCTAACCTGCACATCACCATCGACAAGAAAAACGCAGAAAACTCGGAGAAACAAACGAGAACTCCTAAAATAAACAAAATAAAGGAAAATGCACGACAAGACACAAAATAGACCAAGAAGCAAAGAAAAATACCTAAAATGGGGAAAAATAAAGATAAAATAAACACGAAAAACACGATAAAAATGGAACGAACACAGATCTTGAGGCCAACTCGGCCAACCGGTCCTATGCAATTATCTTGCAGTCATTCTAAGTGTTGTATCACTATTCATTATTTTGTTTTTGTTTTTTCTGTTCATAAATATGTAAATGTAAATTATTTATAAGTCGTGATGATCACGCAGGTCTCTCTATTGTCCAGAAGTGCAATCCTGATGCTACTCTCGTGGCTCATGAAAACACTTGTAGCCGGATTAGTAAAGGTGTGTGTTATGATTTCTCAATTGGTTTGAAACTTATGCTTCAGAAAACAATTTTATTTTATTTTTTCCCTTTTCTGACAGAAGATAACATGTTAAGATAAAGTAAATTAACTTTAAGACTTAATTTCATGAACAGATTATCCTCCTAGTTTGAATGATCAGCTAAGTGTCTTAAACCTATTAGAACCTAATAGATGTCCTTGGATGAGTCTTATGGTTGAATGACCTGTTAAATGTTCTTAGTGTACTTTGGGTAAATTGGACTTTGAAAGACTGAATTCATAACCAATGCGTAAAATTTGGTTATCATATGAATGTGCTGCTGCTACCACGTGAACTATGAATATAAACATTTATTTATTTATTTATTTATTTATTATTATTATTATTATTATTATTATTATTATTATTATTATTATTATTATTATTATTTTCGTTTTTGGATACAGATGATTGGTCTCTCGGATATATCGCAGTTCTTGGATCTGAGGAAATCTGTGTTGGTGGCCAACGGTTGAGACTCATTTCTGCCCCAGTAAATTCCTCTTAATATCTCTTTTCTTAATAAATACTATCTTTCCAGTGTATGTTTCTATTGGACAATCTACTATTTACTTCAAATTCTTCGTTTTCCCATTTTATAACCCAATTGCAGTATAGAGTACCACTTGTTTTAGTGCACCTTCTCCATAAAAAATAAAAATGTCCAAGCAACATGGTTAAATTTTGTGTACATGTGAACTTTAATTAGGTATATTGGTTTGTTTTGTGTGCGACCTTTTCCTTTGAACTTGAACATTTTATCATTTTTTCATTGCGAAATTTTATCAGGGGCATACAGATGGCCACCTGGCATTGCTTCATGTCACCACCAACTCATTGATAGTTGGGGATCATTGTGTAGGGTAAGTTGTCGATACTCGTCTAATTTTAGGAATAAAATTGATTGTTAATAATGTGGAAAATGCAGTCCTTATACATACAACTCTGTTAGTCCCTGCCCGTTCACTGCTCAGGTAAGCAAAAATGCTTCCGGCACAAACTAACACTTTTAGGATGAAAGAAGAAGATTGTGAACAACTAGTTCAATGTATTGAGTATTAAGCTTTTTTTGTGTTGTGTTTACAAATGAAAAACTACATCCCTATTTATAGGAACTAAAAACTACTATTCAACACTTTCCTAGAAATTACTAAAACTGAAAATTCAGCCTAAAGGGGCTGCTATGAAGGTCCTTTGCAGCTGCAAGGAAGCTACAAAGAAAATGCAATGAAAGTGTAATGAAAGTGCAAGGAAGTTGCACTTCACTAACAAGGAAACTGCAGGATTATATCTTACAAACTCCAGGGGTAAAATGTTTTTACTGTCACATTCTCTTATCAGTAGCTAGAATACTAGTTTTTTCGCAAAAAGATGGAACCATGAATTAGTAGAATAGTATCGGTTGTTTACATAGTATCAAGATTTCTTTATATTATTTTCAAATCTTATTTTTGAATATGTGGAGGTGTGTTGAGCTAAATGAATCTATTCAATTTTAGACAAGGTAGTGCGCTCTTGGATATCACGTCCGGTGGAAATATGAGTGTAAGTTTACTCAAAACTATTGTCTTATACAATTTATGGGATGCCTATGTTGATTATCAATCACACCGAAGGAACTCGTAAAATTCTGTTTCTCTCTAAATGGGGACGTAAAATTGATTATCTCGAGGACTGGCTGTTGTATTTATACCGCCAATACCCAAAGTCATTTAATTCTTTTACTTTAATTTTTCCTTTTATTATTATTATTTTATTTTCAAATGCGGTCGACAAGGATATGGTGAAGAATAAGAGTTATATCCAATTTGAGAGTTAGCCAACAATATGTAAAAATGGATCAAGTAAAAGACATCATTGAAGGACCGAATCCTATATACCTCTATTACTCTCAACTAAATATCTTACCTATTGCAGGATTATTTTCGCACAACGTACAAGTTCATAGAGCTGTCCCCACATGTACTAATTCCTATGCACGGTAGAGTTAACTTGTGGCCAAAGCACATGCTTTGTGGATATCTTAAGTAAGTGAACAAAATTCCCGACAGCAATGAAACCTGTGAAAAAATTAGAGTTTTTTAAACTATTCATATTATTTATTACATTTTCTATTTGTTTTTAAATTCTCAGAAACCGGAGAAGTAGAGAATCTACCATCTCTAAAGCCATTGAAAATGGAGCAAAAACATTGTTTGATATTGTTTCATATACATATGCGGATGTTGACCGCAGTCTATGGATTCCTGCTGCATCTAATGTAAGACTTCATGTTGATCACCTTGCAGAGCAAAACAAATTACCCAAGGTAACAACACTTGTTTGATATTTCCCGAAAAATTTCTTCTTTACGGTTTTTCGTCTGGCTTTAAGATAATTACGGAGGCAGAGGCTAAGCATATGTGCAATAGACTCCTGTAGTTTTGTGAAATGCAAAATTACAAATACCCAATACACTTTCTTAAGGCTTATATTTTCTGAAAAATTATCCTTCCTTAAGGGAGAGCTATACCTGACTTTCCGTATACTAAAAATAAATAAAGGTTGAGCTAAACCTCGTGGGTAGTTTTTCAATGAATCTCAAAGTGTGATTTCCCATATAAATTACCCATCGTAATGAATATTAATTAATGAATAAAACATCATTCTTTCTTTAACAAGTCAATTTCCCCCCTTTCCTTTTGCTGCGAGCCTAGTTTAAACTAAATTAGCCTATCAAACTAGGCATGGATGCTTGTATCATGTGGTTCAAATAAGAAGTCTTAGTGTAACAACTGTAATAATGTTATTTTTAACCCATGCTGTTTTTTTTTTTTTTAATATGTTTGGTGCAAATTATATATTTTATATGTATGTATGTGTGCTATATATTGCTGGCAACATGTTGAATTGTTTCATGAACTCCAAACTCTGTTATTGAAACCTGCAGGATTTCTCTCTAGAATTTTTCAAGGGCAGTTTAGCTGAATTTGCCCAAAGTGTGGGCTGACTGTTAGGGTGAGGAGAAGCTACTCGATTAAAAAGTTGCCAATAATTATATTTGACTTCGATTGGACAACTTCCCTGTCACAAACAATTAGTGTGTATGAGGTGCTCCTCGTAATATTTACTTGTAAAATGTAGAAGTAATTGAAAGAACCGTCTGATTATCTGTTCAAATTGCAAATGTTATCTTCTTGATCATCGTATTAGTTCGTCAAATCACCCCTTCAAAAGGTTGCAATTTCTAAATAAAAACATATACTGTGGTGGCAGTTGTAATTCTAGAAGATAGATAACTGGCCTTCTTTGTAGTTAAGCTAAAACTTAGGGCAGTACTCGTGAATATCTTTGTTTGAAATATAATCTCTCTCTCTCTCTCTCTCTCTCTCTCTCTCTCTCTCTCTC